CAGTGATTTATCAATTTTACATGTAGGCACTGGACACATAAGTGTTTTAACAATCACAAAACATAGTGCATCATGCTCTGCTTGCTATACTTAATCAGAACACATTGTTTTGTTTGTAATTATTGTACTGCAGTGACAAGTCCATTTATTTTTGAGCTATGCAAGCACTCACATTAGTTCACCTATATTTTCAGAACATGCAATTTTAAATATTTTTCTTTGAAAAAAGAAAAATAGTGATCAAATTCCCTGATTTTGTTATTTGTCACATTCTACCATTAAAAAAATTATGCAAAATGTATTAGGCACACTCAGAATTTGCCAACCTACAACACAACTACCATATAACAATGGCTCCACCTCAACTGAAACTGAATAGGCAGGTTTACCGCACATCTTGAAGCAGTCTGTGCATTATGCATAAATGGAGCTCAGATGTTACAGATTACGAACATAAAAGTCATGTCTGCAACTACTTTCAGCACTTGTGTATCATCAATAACTTAATCAGTGAAGCCTCTAACATTACACACAACCACCATAAATATACACACTTGCCAACAACTACTAAAAAAGTTTTTTAGACCTTTCATTATGTTCAACCAAACCCAATATTATAGTAAACCACCTCATCAAATTATTGCTAGTTTGATAAAAATCTCTTAATTTTTAAAAATTTAATACAGATGGCAAAGGATAAAAGAAGTACAGGAAACAGTGATTTCATGGGTAACATAAACAAAAGTCCAAGTGCCTAGAATGTTTAAAGTTCATATATCACTTTTCAACCCAAAAGCAACTATAAAATTAAAACTATGACAGCAGGAAGATAACAAGATAAATTATCTGCAAAATGAGAGTGATTAATACGCAGTTTATAAATTAAATCAGAAATTAGAACCTACAATGTTTTGAAGGGGGCACCCGGTAGTGTAGTGGTTGAGGGGCTACGCTACAAGCCAGAAGATCGCGGGTTGAAATCCCGATGAGGTCACTGGATATTTTTCAGTTGACCTAATCCTTCCAGCCGCACTAGGCCCTGGGGTTTACTCAGCCTCTAACAGAAATGAGTATCAGGAATCAATTAAATAATTTTCCTGGGGAGTAAAGAGCGGCCGGTGTGTAAGGCTGACAACCTTACCGCCATCTTTGAGCCGACTGTCTAGATAATGTGGGACCCTCAACATCTCACAACCCTATGGGCCTCCACGGCCTGGTACAGGGATAACTTTACTTTTTACTTTACTTACTTTACAATGTTTTGAAGTTCAAATACCACTTTTCAATACAAAAATGACTATAATACCACTGAAAACTATGACAACCGGGGGGGGGAAAGAGAAATACGTGTAAAATGAAAACAAACAAAAAATACATACACAGTAATAATTTCTAAAAGAATTCCAAAATATTAAAAGTACTGACTGAATTGGAGCAATACTGATTTGGAATTCCACAGTTCACTTATGGTGGACAGAGATATGTTCGTAGGGATGAACTCTCATACATGTACACTCAGTCACTTTACATAACTGAAATTATGAAATTTTAACAGCATATTCATTCACTACATGCTATGTTAATTATGGTAATATCAAAATAATATAACTACAGTATAAAAATCAATACATCATACTATTTAGCAAAGCATTTAATTTTCCATGAAAGACCAACAAATTCAATTGCAGATGGCAAGTGTGCATATATTTACATTACAGATTCAACCAATATGACAATGTTTCAAACTGAAATTAACAAAATATTCTATTTGCTTACAGTGAAAGTCTATCTACCACATGTATGGAATTTACAACTGTAACATCTGTATAAAACATCACATTGTTGTTATGAGTACTTAGTTTTTCATGTTTAAAAACTGTTACCATTTGACAGTGAATAACATTTCACTCAGAGAACAAATGGTTGTCAAAATATCACAAATTTCAGTTTTCAAGTGAACTGAAATTCTGAAAATGTAACAATTCAAACAGTCAACACTTTCATACTTGTATATATCATTATCTGATATATCAGCTGGCTCAAAGCAAATAGGCATTTCTGCTACACTGAACAGTGACTGAAGCAGCTTAACCTCATTCATACAAATGAACCAGCTAAATACAGTACGATCTGTACCAAGCACCATTACTTTACAACTTTTATGTTTCAATATGGGCTGGTAAGTCAATAAATATTGAGTTCAGTTCTGTGATGTTACAGGAAAGATAGTAACATCACTTTTCTAGAGAGGAAGAAACAATTTAAAACATGTATACAGTAATGTATTTCATTAGGTCAATGGAAAATATTGTACTTTAGGGACTAATTCATTTATCACTTAATTCTTACAATAATCTCATTTTGAACAATTTCTGATCCAACCCCTTCTTCCATAACATCACAGAATAAGTAAACTGATACTAATATTATTCACAAGCTTACAAAACATAGAGCTAAGCACCTGTACAAATTAGTTACTTTATATCCACATGGGAGGCATACCATACAGTGTTAGAACCAGGCCAATTATGCATGATGAACTGCAAAAATGAAGTCCAATTAAGAACGGCTAAAAAGATTGTCGTAACTCATCCTGTCCTACAAGACCTACAGACGATGTGTCAGTAAAAGACAGGAACATTAAGAATTGAAAATAATGCATTTTATGGAATTGTAGGCAGTGCTAATACACTAATGAAATCATATCTTAAAGATAGGTATCAACGTGTCATTGTTAAAGATAATTTAGCACAAGAAAATGCTACCTCGAATTGGGGCAAGATTTAACATGGTGTTACGCAGGGATCAGTACTTGGTCCACTGCTTTTTCTGCTTTACATAAACGACCTACCTAAAGTGGTAAATACGTTTTCTCAACCTATTCTCTTTTGCTAATGACACTAGTGTTATTGTTAATAATACTAATTGCATAAATTTTAAAAAAGACCTTATCTTCTCATTTGATCAATTAAATAAGTGGTTTAACACCAATCTGTTAGCATTAAATTTTAATAAAACTCAATACCTACAATTTAAAATGATGAATAGTTTAACTATTCCAATAAACATCAGTTATAACAATATACGTACCGGTAATAACACAGAGACAAAATTCTTAGGTATTACTATTGATGATTCCCTGTCCTGGGAAAACCATATTTATGGTCTAAGCCTCCTATGCAATTATGACACTTAGACCCTTTGCATCACTGGAATCCTTGAGGATGATTTACTTTGCTTACTTTCACAGCATTATGATGTATGGGTTAATTTTCTGGGGGACCTTTTCTTATAGTGGAAGTATATTTAGACTGAAAAAAAGGGTAATAAGAATTATCACTAATTTCCCACCCCCCCAAAAAGAAAGACTCATGTAGAGAACTATTTAAGTATTTAGACATGTTACCATTATATTCCCAATTCATATTTTCATTATTAACTTTTGTATCAGATAATAGAGAGTTATTTAAAACTAACACAGATTGTCTATCTATCAAAAAGGTGTTTATTACATGGGCATTAAGATTTTTAATCAGCTTCCATCCTATTTGAAAGGCATCATAGACTAGAAGAAACTGTTTAAATCTTCATTAAAAAGGTACTTACTAGAAAATTCCTTTTACTCATTGCAGGAGTTTTTTTAACAATAAATAAAATGGGATATACTATTCCCTTTGGTATTTGTGATGCTATATACTTATCACAGTCATTATGAGTAATTCTATTTTGCCTCTTCTTACTTTTATTTTAAATTTTAAGTTTTATTAAACTAATTACAAAGGACCGGTAATCAATTTCCCCCCCTTGGCATTACAGCCCCAGTGGGCCTAGGCCTACCTCCATGAACTTCTCCATTCACGGTAATGTAAAATGTTTTATAGGGCTCTTGCTGGCTCTTACTTGTACTTTTAAGCTAATCGTATACATTAGTATTTAGTGACTGATTTATTTTCCAATTCACAATGTATTATGTTGAGTTGTTTTGATTTGTAATTGTATGACTGACACTTTAATATTCAAAGCAGGCGTAGTATATTCTTTGAGTATTTGGTGTCTTGTGTATCTGTGACTGGTTCTATATCAGACTGGCAACATTTGTAGCCTGTTCTTGTTTGATGGAATATTACAATAAACTGAACTGAACTAGATTTACAGGATAGAGGCATCCACTAGGAAACATAAGGACACCATTTTGCTCAGATGGTTCAAAGCAGATTCAGTAACCTCTGGTTAAAAGCAAAGTACAAACAATTTCTGAGCACACAGTGAGATATGCAGTTACAAGATTCCTTCACAGGCTTGTAGAAATGTGATGGATTAAATACAAGTACGTCTGTATGATACCAATCATGATATTCTTCACAGAAGAGGTACAGAAGGGATTAAACACAAGTTTCATCCTTGTACTGATGAAGCAGCATATTTCGTATAATGCAATAAACACAAGTATAGATGATAAGATGAAAACCACACATAATTCAGAACTATGTCTCATTTTAAATAACAAATGCCTGAGCACACATCATTAAAAATTATCTTAAACTGCTTTAGTTTCACAGAACTTTGAAACAGGTACGGCTTAATTTAAAACAAATATGAATGATCACAAAAGATTCATATGGATGCCTTTCATGACATCTTTTAGTTGGGGGGGAGGGAGAACCGAAAATACGTATCTTCCGAGTAATGAAGAAAACATGCTCCTGGAAAGACAGATGACCAAACATCCTCACCTTCTTGGTTTATACAAGAATGCATAAGTTATATAAATGCCCAATAAGAAACAAAAGGATTGTTGTAAGATTTGAGGCTTTCACGGTGGTGACTATGAAGAAAGCAGTCTTCTGGGATTTGGCGCCGTGTATATGTGGTGTTAACCGACGTTACGGAGGAACGTATCACCTCCACAGTGTCACAGTCTGTTTTTACCGGTTCTCACGGTCTCTTCGCTTGCAGATTTCTTATATTTTTTCTTCTACCCTGAAGATGGAGGCGATACGTTCCTCCGAAACGTCGGTTAACACCACATATACACGGCGCCAAATCCCAGAAGACTGCCTTCTTCAAAAGGATTGTTGTTAATATGAGATTGGGGGTCTCACAGTGATCACTAAGAGAAGTACTATCCGCTGGAATGTGGTGCCATGTAGTCTGGAACAAGTTTACCAAACAACACAGCACCACATTCTAGAAGACAGTGCTCTTCGTGGTTATGAATGGTCATTTGACTAGTATGAGGGAAGATGTCATCCTGTGGTTTATTTTAAAGTACTAGCCCAGCTTCTGGCTGAAGAAAAACAACATAAAATTGTTTAGAAGGTACATGTACAAGTAAATTTATACTAGATATAAAGCAGGTGCATTATCCACTACACTGTGATGTTCATGTGAACACATAAAATAATAAATCTGATTCCTAACCTTAGCAAGCAAAAACATTTTAAAGTGTCAATGTGGTATCAGTGAAAAATGGCTTCTTTGTAGGGTTAGGATGTTTTCTTGCACTCAGAAAAACCAAATTCTATCAACTTCACTTTCAGTTTCTTGCTACACATATCATGATAAGTTGAGCCTGACCCTAAGCACTGTGTATCCTCCATGATTCTGATCACAGCCTGGCATGTCATAGGCTCAATATGGAGAATTTTAATATGAATCAGGTCCAAACTCTTTAACAAAAAATGAAGAAATAAGGCATTAAACATTACAGCAACAAATTCACAATTTTTGTACAAAATAATTATGCTCCTCAAAGTTGTGGAATCAAGACAGATTTACCTGATATTTGTTTTTTACAGACAGCCACTGCTACAAGAAATGAAGACAACTATCTACACAAGGAGAGATTCATATATAATTAAGTACATTATTAAAAAACAGGTTCCTGAATGAACACATTTCTTTGCAAAACAATTTAATTATATCAAGTTCAATGTAAAAACACTACATTCATATTCTTATTCCGGATTTTTGTATTCTACATAAATACCAAATGGTATCGGTTATTTTGTTGTTCTTTTTGAAGTGAAGAAAACAACATATAAAACTCAACATATTTATCCGGAACTTTGTGCTACACATGCATGTTTATTTATCCTTATGACATTTAGCCTGTATTTCTCCCTCATATTTAATGCTTCTGATTCAAAGTATTTAGAACATTCTGACTTAAATTCTTTTCAATCATTTCAGCCATATGGCACCACAACTTTATGGAATCATACAGACTCACCCACTATTTCAGAATATGTTGCAATATTTATACAGATGTATTTGTTCACTGTTGCTTTTCCAAATTAAGGATCCCAAATTTTACAACAGAATTCATTTCTACTGACTGTTGGGTTATATGCCATCCATCAAACATTTCAGATACATGTGTCAGAAAACATCTCTCCTCTTTATATGCCAAATCTTATTTCATAACAGTATTTTTATTCTCAGAGTGCAGTGGGTGGGTGTCAAATGACTGAATGTGGTGCTAAATCTGCAGTCCTTGGAAACTGACAACCACTGCATAAACGTACTGAATTCCTGGTTCTTCAATTCTTTCTTTTCAGCATCTACAGACATAAATTGGTACTCTTTACTATAAATATCCCATCTGAACCCTTAATGTGAATATATGATATTTTTGGACACAGAATGCATGGGCAGTGGTGACACACCTTTGCCAAATACTATTTAATACAATATTTAAATTCCTTCAATATCCTTAGTCCAGTTTAATTCTGCAATCAAAATACTGCTCTAGAGTCCACATTTCACAAAAACCTTTCTGATATAGTATCAATTATTGATATGAAAACTACACTCATTATTACACAGACCAACACATTTTCAACAACATTCATATCCATTTTCCATATAGAGGAAAGATTATTTCCTGGTTTCCTTGATTGGATGAAAATTCACTGAAATGAAGTTAACAGTTACCAAAGGAAGATCTCTCATACACAAAAATGTGCATTAAAATACACTTGAAAAAGCAGGCACATAAAAATTCTCCGCCCCAACATCACAAGCACTCTGCACAATATAACATACTACAAAATCAGTCAGCTTAATATACATTAAACTGAAACAAAGTGGAAGATACTGTTACTTATCCCCCTCTGATAATTGTTTGACATGTTCATACTCTACCTTGGTAGTCACCTTGCTCACGGTTATCTTTCCCTTACACAGGCCTGTCCACATCTTCTCAAGATGGACTTATGGAGAATGAGCTGAGTTGTATGTTAAGTTCCAGAGATCTCCACAGTGTGAAAGTTTGTGAGCCTGGCTACTAGAGAGCAGGTTACCTTCTATATCAAACCCGGATGGGCTGCACTACAGTGTTGTTGTTAATTCTTGTTGTTGTCTGGTCATTTGAGTTCTCATCTGGTTCTATTCGCTCTGTCCTGGCTTCATCATCGTAGTATCCAGGATTAAGGATGATATTGGGAACTAGTTCAATTACTTCTTGTTCTTCTCGATGAACTGGAAAATGAAGTGTTCGTTCAACACCTGTGTTAGAATGACTGTAATATTCATGTCATATATAAAGCATAGTAACAAATGCCACCTCTCCCTAACAAGATTAAAGAGAATATCAAAACAAAAAACCTGCTTGGATCCAGTAACCAGTTTGATTTTTCAATGTTGTTGGATCACAGAAAAAAGATGAAGCCAATTTTAACTGTTCTTACTTCACTACTGAAGCTATTCTGGATGAATGACAGACCCAATGACATGAAACTAAAGTACAATCCACTGCATTCTCAACTTGAAAAGGACCTGGAAATGTCTGCATAAATGCAAGCTTTGAGTCTTTAAACAAGCCATTACACACTTCCTATACTTGATCAATACTTTTGGAAATGAAATACTACAAGCGATAGACCAACAGATACATCCTCCTCAACATGGGTGCACTTTATACACTTTGTGGTAAAAGGTCATAAGAATGTCAGAAAATTACTATATTTTGAACTGTGCAGCCTCTCATATCTCCGTATCAGTCATGGTGTAGTTTGTGAAGCTGGGAATTCAAAGATCCTAGATGCTTCATATACTGTGCGCCCAAGTAAGAGTGCAACATCCTGTTCAATACTAAAGTGAATGTACAAAACAGGCTCTCTGTCCTTCTGTCTCAGTCTTGTGTCTATAATGAGAACTCATATGGACACTTTTCCTGAGTTTTCAACTGTGATAATGACATGCTGGAAGTAAGTTATATAAAATGTGCCCACAAAGAAAGTTTCCTTATGTATTTGTCTCCAACAAAACTGTTTAGTACATGGCATGAGCACTGAATTTTTAGAAATGTGAAGTATCAGTGATTTGCGTGGAATATATACAGGAAAAGGAACATTTCTATAATAAAACACTGTAATGAACCATTCAACAGGTTATCAACTCTAAGTTTGAAAACAAAATGAATCACTAGTTCTCACAGAGTATATTCAAAGGAAGACAATTAACTTAAATCTTTTTTCCTTACATGCCATTCAAGGGATTATAGGTAATAAGAAACTTTATAAATATGTAGATACTATAGGGTTCTGACGATGGTATAACATGCAGAGATACAGGGTTTTTGGATTTCGTCCATCATCTGGATTCTACATAACTTAGAAGAAACACAAAATTTCAGAAACTGGATCTGTTTCCTACCCAACAGAGTATGTGTTTTCCCTCATCTGAGGACAGAAACAGATCCAGTTTCTGAAATGTTGTGTTTTTTCTAAGTTACTTAGAATCCGGATGATGAACAAAATCTGAAAACCCAGTATCTCTTTATAAATAAGACCTAAAAGTTTGTGATGATGGCACATTAATCCAAATATTATGTTTCTGGATATTACCCACTGTCTTCTTTTTATTTAAAAACATGACATTTCAGAGACTGGATTCTGTCTGTCTTCAGGTAAAACCTACTAAGTTGGGCCCAATCGACAGAGCTAGTCCCCATCTCCGGACACCTGTACCAACACCAGATAAGGTATACAAGCCAAGCACAGCACAAACAATCTGCTAGAGCTAAGATAAAACACTAAAACATTGAAAACTCAACACATATGAGGCCTTGCACCAGAGAACTATCAGAATACAAGTCATCACTGGAGAGACAAATGATACAAACACAAAAAACAATAATTTCCCCACACACTCTACACTGGACAGAGTTGTAGTTTTCTGACTTCTGCTGTGATTGTCTATCAGACATGTTAACAGATTCCTTTATTTCCTGTACATGGTGTTTGGTTCAATCTCCAAGACGCTCACTTCAATCAAACACATTTTGTGGGCTTCTTCATACACATGTTGGGCTAATTTTGATTTCTCAAGCAGAGCTTGTGCCAGGTTATATTTGTTCTCCTTAATATGTATTGATTGGCTTGCATACCCTGCCTGGTATTGGTACAGGTGCCTGGAGATGGGGACTAGCTCTATTGATTGGGCCCAACTGAGTAGGTTTTATCTGAAGAAGGAGGCAGAATCCAGTCTCTAAAACGTGTTTCAAATGAAAACAGGACAATATTTTAGATAAAAACAGGGTAATGAATAATGTCCAGAAACATACTATTTGTACTGAACTTTATAAATTAAATACAATGAGGTCCTATTACAATATCAATGAACTCTATATTATGCATGAGGGGATATAACACAATTTTACAGCAAGGCTCAAAAGGTTTAGAGGTTTGGTCTGTGCTGAGACCACAGAAACAAAGGCAAGTAAGTAAGTAAGTAAGTAAATGTATCCCTGTAACAGGCCGTGGAGGCCCGTAGGGTTGTGAGATGTTGAGGTTCCCACATTATCTAGGCAATCGGCTCATACACGGCGGCAAGGTTGCCAGCCCTTTACCTCCAAGAATATTTTGGTATGAAACAAAGGCAAGACAGGTGTAAACAAATAATTTCCAGACTGCATTTCTTCCTCTGCAATAACTTTATTTATCCTGTACTCAATGCTGCCCCCTTTGCTGTACCTCTGCAGCTTGATGAAATGTGTTTAGTGACTACACCACTGCTTGAAGCATTTGCAGAAGTTCTGAACTTGGCAAAAGAAGCCTGTGACAGTTCTTGAATCACGATGATATAAAATCTCTTCCTTTCAGTATCAACTTGAGTTTTGGGGGAAAAAATGTCTGATATGATTCTAATGTTGCTATCATTTAAAATATGAGACACAACTTTTGCAGCGATCCATTGCATATTCAGATCTTGTGTCACAATGCTTTGGCATGATCCAAACAAACTTCCCACCTCATTATTCATTCACAGATGGATGTCCTAAATGTTCAACATTGTTAAGTCCATTTCTGAACACGGAAAACCAGCCAAATGTTGGACAAAAATATGGAAACACCCAAGAAAGAATAATATCACGTGTTGGATGTATAACGCGACAAGTAACTTCACGTCGTATTGGATATAGCGAATTTTATTTCACACTCGTTCGTACAATCACACAATTTACAGATTCACAACTACTGCTATCTGCAATATAACAATTACTTGGCCTGCGAAGCTAGGCTACAACTGACTGGTTGACTGACTCCCTGGCTAACTCGTAACTCACTCTTGAATAGTGTTTGCTGCTCCTTATTTAGCCCCGTTACGGACGACACATAAAACAGTTACATAATAGGCACCACTGTTGCGTAACGTCATGTTTACCGACTGCCTAGCAACAGTTGTTGCACAGACTCCCTGCCGTGTTTACAAAGGCGTTGCTGAGCAGCGCTGCCGGGAGTTGTTTATGGCTACATAGCAACTGTGGCGTCCCATGTTATGTCACCGCGGGGAAAGGGGTGTCTACCGAGCGTTGCACACTGATGGATGGAGTGGGGGTATGTGACGTCACTCGCAACATCACAGAGTTCACGCGACCCCCACGTCCCGCTACGCCATCCACGTCACACTGCTCCCTTCTAAAGGTTGTTCGTCCCGAATAGCCTAACGGTGCATCCCCGTTCCTTTGTCTTTGGAGGCTGTTCTTGCAGCATCTTTTTGTCTGTGTGGACTATAGGAGGCTCAACGATGTCACCAAGAAAGATTGTTTTCCACTACCCTGTATTGACGATACCTTGGACACGCTAGCCGGAGCGAAATGGTTTTCGACTCTTGATCTAAAGAGCGGCTATTGGCAAGTCGATGTACACCCAGACGACACAGACAAGACAGCATTTTCGACAGGTCAGGGGTTATGGCAGTTCACAGTCATGCCCTCTGGCGTCTGCAATGCTCCGGCAACCTTTGAAAGACTAATGGAGACAGTCCTACGAGGTCTCACATACGATTCATGCCTTGTGTATCTGGACGACATGATCATAATAGGCTGCACATTCCAAGAGTACATGCTTAACTTATGGAAAGTGTTTGAGAGGTTCCGGGAAGCACATCTGAAACTTAACCCGGAAATGTGTCAACTTTTGCAGAAGGAAGTCATGTACCTTGGGCATATTGTATCACATTACCATGACTAATATGGTGTAGGAAAACCTCTGGCTTGCAGAACTGCTTGCAGTCTCCTTGGAATGGATAAATAGAGGTCCTGTATGATTTGCAAGGGAATCTTATACCAGTCTTCCTGCAAAACATTGGCAAGTTCTGTTAACGATGATGGAGGTGGATAGCGCACACACAGATTGCTCTCCAAAACAGACCACAAAGGCTCAATAATATTGACATCGGGCGATTGTGGGGGCATGGCAGATGCGACACTTCATCTTCATGCTCAGAAAACCAGTCCTGGATGATGTGATCTGTGTGAACACGGGCACTGTCGTCTTGGCAAATGGCATCACCATTGGGGAACAAAGTTTGCACCATGGGATGGACTGGTCACCCAAAATGGTCACATAGTTCTTGGCAGTGACATGACCTTGCAGGGTAATGATGGGTCCAACAGAATACCACGATATGGCTGCTCATACCATGAACAAACCCCCACCATGTTTCACTCTTGGCAGCAAACAATCTGGATCGTAAGCTTGGGATGACATTCTCCAGATGTAAACTCGGCCAGAAGTCGAAAACAGTGTGAAGGTGGACTCATCCGACCAAATGACGGTCTTCCATTCCTCCACAGTCCAGGTTTTATGACTTTGGCACTACACTCTCCTCTTAGTGACATTCTGATCACTGATGAGTGGCTTTGGAATGGCAGCTCGTCCAGAAATACCTTGCTTGTGGAGCTCCCTTCATATTGTTTTGGTGCTGACAGGGTTTGTGAGCGTGACATTCAGTTCAGCAGTCACTTTTGCAGCTGTAATCTTCTCATTTTTTGTCACAATCCTATGCAATGTTCGTCTGTCTCGATCACTCAACACACATTTCCACCCACGCTGGGGTTTATCGAATGTGGTTTTTCCAGTCCTCCTGTATGTGGTCTTAATCTTGGATACTGTGCCTCACGAAACACCAAATACCTCGGCTACCTTGGTTACGGAAGCATCCACCATACGGGCTCCAACAATTTGTCCAAGTTCGAATTCTGTTAGCTCTGGCATTATGTACTAAAAACTGCACAGAACACCGTCTCAACAACAAATGAAGCTTGCAACGTATTTCAGAGCTTGTACAGGTAGTGGTATTGGGCAGATATGACAGTGTCACCTACAAACGTCACTAAAATAAACACTTCAATTCATGCATGCATTTCATGATGTGTTTCCATATTTTTGTCCATCTCCATGGCTTATGTGCAAGAGGACCTGTTCTTGGCCTCAGTTTTTTTCAAAATAAAACTGCAATGCATTAAAATTGCATATTTATTATGACAATCTTGTTAATATAGTCCCATGCATCAATTTTCTGTATTTTACTTCACAATGATTGTCTTTTAAATTAAATGGTTGCCAAATAACATGCAACATGAGTGAGTTTAACAAAATCTTAGCAGCCAACACTATCTTTCTGTTTTTTCTTTGGTGGAGGGCTGGTTGATGTTACTTTTATTTTCAAGTCAGGTCTTTATGTCTTTCCCAGTTTCCATTGTAAATTTTCCTGTTATCTCTCACTAACAAAACCTGATCTCAGGTGTAGTTATACTGACACAGGTTGTCCAGTGGGTGAAGTCAGCTCTGTCTACAAGACCCAACAAAGTAGATGCCTCCCACCCTTTCACCTGAAGTTGAAACAGATCTAGTTTCCAAAAGGCTGTGTTCTTTGGAACACCAGACGATGAAGGAAGTCCAAGAATTCAATAATCCTGAGTGTTAAGTACCATTATCAGAGCCATTTAGATTCAAATCTATGGACAGATCATCTATTTTCACAACTGTGCATTACATAACAGGCTTTACATTCACAACTCATTTCCTACACATCGTCAATAATTACGGACTACAGCCTGACTGTAACAAATCCACCCAAATTAGACATTCCACACATTACATAAAATCTCAACACACACAACGTGTTCAGTTGTAATGATACTCTGAAGCAAACGATAAATTCTTGAAGAATATATCAAAGAAGATGGACATAGGGTTTAGTCAGCAAGATAAGGTCAGAAGTAAAGTTTTGTAGTTGAAGCACTGTCAGAAGTGTTTCTTGTAGAGAGACCATGCTGCACAACAAGTCAGTATCTCACAACAGGAAATTAAGAATGAAGAAACCTTCACCTGAAGAAGATCCAGAATGAAGAACTGAGAATTCATGATGCTTATTATACCTACCAAATTCAAACATTACACAATGATTGTTTTCTGTGGTGTGGCACTGGAAGGAGTTAGAGAACAGGTAACTTGATCACTGGTGGATGCAGGCATGTGTCTCAGCACCTGATTCTACATAGGCTGAAATCAAGAAATTACAGAGACAAAACTCTGTCTCATAAACAGAGGACTCTTGTAGCAAAAATGGCATTTCTTCTAAAGAAGATTAGAAATGCAGGATAAGAAGGAAGATCGAAAGAGAAGCTATACTTGATTAGAAGCTGTATATAATAAGCAAGTTTTGAATGTTTTAAATTATTTTTTTCTATTTTTAATTTTCTTAGTGGGGAGTGGAGTCCAACTAGGTCCACTCGGCACAGCGACCACTGATTGGCCTATTCTAGCCTGCCCCGGGTGATTATGATGATGGAGAATTTGGTGGAATGAAGATTGGCAAAGGAAACTGAAATACTTGGAGAAAACCCACCCCAGTGCCACTTTGTCCACCACAAATCCCATTTGACCAGACCCGGGATCGAACCCGACCCGCCGCAGTGGGAAGCCAGCGACTAACCGCTGGAGCTACGGTGCAGCCTAAGTTTAGAATGTTACAGCTGGCTGTTTCTAAATCAGGATGATTAAGAAATGAAAAATGACTGTATTTGAAATAAAACTTCTTTTATCACTGCCAGTCTGCATGTACATCATAATTTGCTTGTCACTACAAAAAGCTGCTTCTCCACATGAACATAAATGCAATGCACTAACAAATAAGAAGAGAATGAACACGAACTGAGAGTTAACATGCTTTCAAAGTGTAACGTTTTTGAGCTGCACTGGAAGGAAGGGACTTTGCATTATGTATTAACCTTTTACAGCAAAGTGGTTATTGTACAGTGCATTTGGAAAGTCATTATGCACTTATAAAAGGTGTTGGAAGTGATGTCCAAAAGTGTTTATACAGATCTGAACCCGTTTAATTTTATTCACAAACACTTTCTTCAGATCTGCCTGTGAGATGTTTCTTATGCATGCAGTCACTGCAGTTTTTAAAACATTTAGTATGTGTGGGAGATCATGATACGCTGCAGATTTTGCTGCTCTGGTGCAGTAAGAACCAGCGAGCGAGGGGCCATAAGTTTATAGAGATGACACATTCTCCAAAAATCTCATTCAGAAGTTTCATAGAGTTGTTAGATGTGTGTGCAGTACTGCCATCTTGTTGTAACCAGCAGTAGGTGATTTCATCTTCCTCAAGTAGGCCGATGAAATCATATAGCACTGAACAGTAATGTTCACTGTTCATTTTTCCTTCAAGAGTTTCAATTGTTTTCAGGCCATTTTATGTGCCGTTGCAAGCCAATACCTTCCTCTTGTTACAACTTGTGCAATGATTTTGATGGACTGCGTAGTATAGTCAGAATGTTCAAAAACTTCTCATCCTTAAGTTTAGATGGTCTTGCACTTCATTTTGGCATCCAACACTGAGCCTGTTTCACGAAATTTCTCAATAAGTCTATGAACTGCATTGTGATAAGGCACAGGTGTTTCTGGGACTTTTTTGGCAAATTTCTCCTGCACTAAATCAGTATATCTATTGCCTTCTTAAAGGATGTGTTCAACAAGAAAACATGTTCCTCATTGAAAGAACCATAACGAGAAAAAAATTAATTAAACACTTCACTGGTATTGTACTTCAACCGCTGTTCAACAACTGAATACAGAGAAACGTCACACAAAAACAGCACACTTCAATGGCAATTTTGATACTGAGAATCAACTGCATAACCAACACACTGCAGCATACTGCAGCCTAAATGCACAGCGACTTTCTGAGAGCACTGTATATACCATCAGCTTTAATATTAAAAATATCTGCATTTTCCCCCACATAATACGTTTATGGGGTTTTTATGATTTTCAGACAAACAGCGATTACTACCCTACACAGTATTAACCAACTTATCTTTGTAATGGGGCCACAGTGTTTTCTGTGCAGTACAAACTGGATTTTAAAATATTATTTAGATTAACTTCTAGGCTCAAAGACTTAACCCACTGCTCAACATAACATAATAAGGGTGTATGGATGCACCAGAGAGATTGGGATCACAGATTATATCTCTTCCTGCTGGCCTAGAAAACATCAACACCTGAGACTACAGGCACAATGCCTGTTAGCATGGTGTCTAAAAGGGAGCTGTGTCTAAGGAACCTTACAAGTAGAGTCCAGAAACTAATGCCAAAGAATTTGAGAATAATTTCTTTGCTCAGAAATAAGACAAAACAGCACATCACCTGATGTTTCTTTACAACATAAAACACTTTACAAATGGGAAACATGGATATGAATCTGGAATTCTGAAGCAAAACACACACCTGCCTTCCTGTGGTAGTGTCAAGATATAGTATTTGTCTATGAAACAAGTACCTTATATTCAGTCCTAACAAACACACTTTTTTTCATGTTAATTTTTGTAAAGACACACTGTTACTCTGAGATTGCAGGAACTGTCTGGTTCCCAAGGACATCTGCAGCAATAGTGACAATGATTTACCATCAAGTGCAAAGCAGGATACAGAACTGATGCATTTAGACACAAATTAATACTGGCATCTGCATGATGCCCAGCCCATGAACTGAGAGGCCCCTATAATTTGCATGCTCTCTTTTGTGTAATTTGCCTTATCAATTCAAAGTCTTTGCTTCTGAACACACTGTATGCATGCCACTAACTAGTGTTTTGTTGGTCTTCCCTGCTCCTGACTAACAGCACAACTTTCTTCCCTGCTACTTTAAAGTTGGTTTAAACTTGTTTTGAGGAGAAAGATGTCATCCTTTCCTATTCATCTTCCATTCTTCATTGCAGGAACTTAATAAATGGCTGAATCACATGACTGACTACAACAGAGTTCCAGTATAAATCAGGGTCTAATGCTCCATGAAGTGGAAGTTCAGTACTGCAAATTCATCAGAATGCCACATTACAGAATTGCATTCATCACTGTATACAATCTCTGACAATTATAGCTACTTACTAGAAGGGATGTGACAATCTTTATATAACAAGTAACAAGTTCCAACAGCCAGCATAAGTAGTGTCCCCATCACTACAGCTACTGCAGCCACCCAAACACGTGTGTCAAAAGTCTGGGCTCCTTGCAGCAGATGGCGAGCCAATTCTGTTGAAAAAAAAAATCAGTTTCAGTGTAAATATATAAATACATACTTCCAACTGGGGTCCTCAGTTATATTCATTATACAGAGACCTACAAAATACTTATAGTTTTACTGTTAGTTATATTTCAACATGAAATCAGAGTAACAGACACATGTAAAAAAAAAAGGTAAAGTTATTCCTGTAACAAGCCATGAATGCCCATAGGGTTGTGAGAGGTTGAAGCTCCCACATCGTCTAGACAAATGGCTAACAGATGGCGGTTAGGTTGTCAGCCTTATGCGCTGGCCGCCCTTTACCCCCACAGGAAGAACCCTGATACACACTTCTGTTAGAGGCTGAGTCAACCCCAGGGCCATAGTGCAGCTGGAAGGATTAGATAAATTGAAAAAAGATTCAATGACCTCATTGGGAACCTGCAACCTTCTGGTTTGCAGCATAGTGCCTTACACCACTAGGTATCCCAACATAGGAGAGGTAATTCAATAAATACAAACTGTCATTTTCTCCCTGTTGAATTAAAAACAGAGCAAAAGGGTGAAAGTGTTATAAGCGTCACTGACAAGAGCACACACAGCTCACCTATCTCTTCAATGTCATGTAATGTAGTTGCCTCCAGCACAGTTTCTTCTCCTGGCCCCAGCTCATTACTGGCCCAGATTCTGAACACATATGTAGTATTGGGATCCAGTCGATATACATCTATCTGCCGCTGTAACATCAAAATTGCATTAACAGACTGCTCACAGGTTATGACACTGAAAGGCCTCAAAATCTGCAAGTCCTGAAGGCAATCTAGGAGTAAAAACATACTGTTGTTTCTGAAGTGACAGACAGTTTTCTGGCTCTTATTTTATCATTGGCATATCCTTGTTACTAAGAAAGGGCATACAACTCTAAAAGGTACAGTAAATCTAACTAAAAGCCCTACCTTTGTAACAAAATATAAAATCTTATGCATTCCTTACCAACACTTTATTTAAAAAATTATATAGACAAAGTAACGAATGATACTGTTAACATCATATTAATTACAATGAAAATGAATGAAATCAGATTTTTAACTACAGTATACAAGTTATTTGGTAAGGTATCAGCTCTGAGATGCATGAAAATGACAGGTGTAATTATAAATGGGACAATGTTATTGAAATGAAACTCAACACATGCCATTAATTTGGTCACCACTCAAGACACTGATCTCCACTTACTCTCCAAACCTCTATTCTCGCTGTAAAATCTGACAAGAGAGAGAAGTGTCTTACCTCTTGGGTAGTTCAGCATGGTGACAGATAAGATAAAACAAAGAATAACAGAAGACCAAGCTAAAGACAGATGACAACCTTATATGAGAATAGAATAAAAGTATTTTAGCAATAAATTTTCGTAAGGTTTTTACAACGTGTAAGGAATTTTGGATAGAAGGAATGTCAATTTGAATAAATCTATGGTTATGAAAATAAACTGGAGGACAGGAAATATGAAAAGATATATAATAATCATAAAATAAGGAACACAGAGTTTTAGGTATTGGAGAAGTAGAACGGTAATAAATGGAAAAGTAAAAGAAAATTACAGAAAGAAAAAATGTAGGAAAATTTTGCTAATTAGTTAGGGCTATACTTTGAAAAAGGAAATATTAAATACAGGAAAAATACTGTATGTTTATTTAAATGTTACTATATACCCATATTACTTAACTAATTAAGGACTGTGCCCTGAAGACGTATGGGGAAGTGGATGTATAGATAAACATTTTCTTGACCTCAGGACTAGTTGGATGTGGCTTGTCACCTTCATGCCCTGACTATTTTACCCCCTGTACCCATTAGATAGGAGGCTGGGTGGGCCCTGGAGCCTGTCTGAATGACATGCAGAAGAGAAAACTCCAACTAGAACTCCAACCTCTCAGTCATCCAGCCTGTAGCCGGTCACTATACTGACTGCACTATCCTGGCTTCCAATTTATAGGTAAAGGTAAAAAGGTAAAGGTATCCCTGTAACAGGCTGTGGAAGCCCATAGGGTTGTCAGAGGTCTAGGCTTCCACATTTTCTAGACAATTGGCTCACAGATGGCAGTGAGGGCGTCAGCCTTACATGCTGGATGCCCTTTACCCCAGGAATATTCCTGGTACTCATTTCTGTTAGAGGCTGAGATGACCCCAGGGCCATAGTGCAGCTGGAAGGATTAGGTGAATTGAAAAAATCCACCTCATCGGGATTTGATCCCACAACCTTCCTGCTTGTAGCATAGTGCCTCAACCAACTATGCTACCACGGGCCCCAATTTGTAAGAAGTACAGAAGGAAAAAAGTCATGAGAGACAGAATAAAAAAAAGAGAGAGCGAGAGAGAGAGATAAAATACGTGTAAGATTTGAGGCTTTCATGGCAGTGACTATGAAGAAAGCAGTGTTCTGGGATTTGGCACCATGTATATGTGGTGTTAACCGACGTTTCGGAGGAACGTATCGCCTCCATCTTCAGGGTAGAAGAAAAAATATAAGAAATCTGCAAGCGAGGAGACCGTGAGAACCGGTAAAAGCAGACTGTGTTCCTCCGAAACGTCGGTTAACACCACATATACACGGTGCCAAATCCCAGAAGACTGCTTTCTTGGAGATAAAATACCTTTGGATATAAATTAATGATAAAATATGTGGTGCAATCCAGAAGTTCCCAAATTTGAATTTTTTGTGCAAATCGTTATGAGTACAACAAAATATCGTTCGGTGTCTCCCCACACATCCTTATTGAATCAGTGTGGCAAACGGCGTCAAGTTGAGTGGTTGCGTTTATTGTTGGTCAATGTATTTCCATTGTTGTGTTTCCGTGAGTTCGCAGTTTTGTGATGGCTGACCTGAGAGACCAGCGTGTCTGTATAAAGTTTTGTTTTAAACTTGGGAAAACCACTGCAGAAACGCACCAAATGTTGAAGCAAGTTTTTGGTGACAACAGTTTAGGCCAAACACAAACTTATGACTGGTATAAGCATTTCAAAAATGGCCGAATATCAACTCATGATGATGATCATTTGGGATGGCCGTCAACTGGCGCCACACCAGAAAATGTCACGAAAGTTAGGGATCTGATTCTGCAAGATCGTAGACTGACCATCCAAGACCTCTGTAACACCTTTGGGACTAAGTTAAGGTACATGTCAACGAATTTTGTCAGACGAACTGAACATGAGGAGGATTGTGGTGAAGTTTGTGCCACGACTGCTGAAAAATGTACAGAAGCAGCATTGCTTGGAAGTCGGCAGGGAACTTCATCAACAGCTTCAAGGGGACCCAAACTATCTTTAGAAGGTTGTCACTGTTGACGAAAGTTGGGTTTATGACTACGACCCTGAATGTAAGCAGTAATCGTTGTAATGGAAGAGCCCTTCTTCACCTCAGCCAAAAAATGCTCGACAAGTCAAGAGCAAAATTAAGTCCATGTTGATCTGTTTTTTTGATATTTACGAGATTGTTCATAAGGAGTTCATCCCTCCTGGTCAGACAGTCAATAAAGAGATCTATCACGATGTTCTAAGGCATTTGAGGGAGGACATGAGGAGAAAACGTCCAGAGAAGTGGCGCACAAATGACTGGGTACTCCGCCATGACAACGCATGACCGCATTTGGCTTACATTGTGCAGGAATTTTTTGCTAAAAACAAGATGGCAGTTGTTCCCCACCCACCGTACTCGCCAGACTTAGCTCTTTGTGACTTCTTTCTCTTCCCCAAGATGAAAATCAAGCTGAAGGGGTGAAGATTTGATACAGTTCAGGAAATTCAAGCAGAACCGCAGACAGCACTAAACACCCTAACAAAGAGAGACTTCCAGGATGCATTTCAAAAGTGGCAGAAACGCTGGGATCGGTGTATGCGCTCCCAAGGGGACTACTTTGAAGGTGATGGTGCAGAATAAGATCTAGGTAAGACATAATAGTTTTTATTAATATATTTCGGGAACTTTTGGATTGCACCACGTACTATATTTTTCATAAAATTTTTGCCTCCACACAACTTATGCACCATAATTTTCATTATATTTTTGATATTTTTTTACCACCGGAAGATGCAAGTCATGATTAAATCTGGTATTACGGGTGTGGACATCAGAGTTTGTTATATAGCAATCTCTATTCTTGACAACCAGCATAAGGAAAATATATATTGCGATTGAAGTG